ATCTGTACATGAATCACCACCTAATATAATCCCTCACGTCCCTGGCACATCCTCCTCAGTATGGTGGTGGCATATAAGAAGCCAAGACCCACAGAGGTTGAATAGCTTTCTAAAGGCCACACAGCCACTCTGCCAAGAGGCAAGACTAGAAGTGAGAAAAAAGAGGAGGAGGAGGAGGAGGAGGAGGAGGAAGAGGAGGGGGAGGAGGAGGAGGAGGAAGAGGAGGAGGAGGAGGAGGGCAAGGATAAGGAGGGAGAAGTGGAAGGGGTAGACGAAGAAGATGAGGAGGAGTGTTCTTTCCTTAAGTCTACATCCTTTTCCACAAAAGCTTTACATAGCCCCTAAGCATAGCTCACCTACTTGCATTTGGAAGTCATGGCACATCCATAGGTCCATGTATTATTTCCACATAAAGCGGAATTATAACTGCATGGTACAAATAAATCGTTACTCATCCATTACTGTCCATCGAGCCCACGTGGATTTATCACCACTTCATGTCCCATGTCCTGCCCATTCTAACACTCAGACACCAGGGGGGAGGAAGACCCCAATTCCCAGGCTTCTTAGCAAGTTCTGTTGAGTCAAACTCCTTCATATTGCTCAGATTCAGTCTCACTATTGCAACAAGGCATTTCTCTCTTCTCTCCCACCCTATCTAACCCTGCTCTACCCTCCCCTACCTGGTCTCTGTGCTTTTGGCGCTTTCCCTTCTCTCTACTTTCCTCCTCTACAGCCAGAGGTTTTTTTTTTTTTCAAAATGCTCACCTGCCTATGTCACACCTTGCTTTCAATCCAATGCCTTCCAATAGCCATCTAGTCTGCTCTACCTACCTCTCCAAACACCCTCCATCTATCAGCCCACAGTAGTTGCTCCCCTTCTCTCAAATACGTCACACTCTTTCAGATTGCTATTTCACACACAGCCTCTGACTGTGAAGGCTTTCCCGATGCTTGCCTTTCAATGGCAGAGTTAATCTCGTCTATCCTTTCTTGTGTACACAAGCTGTTGCAATAACTATTTGTTGAGAGCTTTTGTTTTCAAGCACCCAGTGGCTTTATATACATTAGCTAATGTAATCTTTCCAACAGTCCTTCGAGGCAATGTATTTATCCTCTTTAAAGATGAAGAAAGTGGGGCTTAGAGAGGTTAAGGTAATGTCAGCTAACTTGAGCCTCTTAATTAGCAAGACCTGTTGAGTTTGCCTTAGAAATTTCTCTCAACATCCAACCCCTGTGCCTCCTGTAAATTGAACAGCCAGTATTTAAACCCAGATTGGCTTGACTCCAACGTGTCTGATTTTATCACATTATATTAAATTAGCTAAGTTCCAAGAGTTTCTTAAAGGCAGGCTCTGGGTCCTGTTCATCTCAGTACTCCAAATCTGGAAATCAGTCCTCAGGCATTGGCTGGAAGTTGTAGAGGGACTTAGTTTTCGACTTAGGATGGGGAAGTGGGGCGCTATACCCAGTTGTTCTAGGAAGCAGAGTTATCACTGGTTTGAATGACTCCATCTGTCCAAGTTTCGGTGTCAGTATTTCAATGTCATTACTAACTATAGGATTTGGAGCCTTTTATTCAACTGGTTTAAACCTCACTTCCTTTAACTGGAAAATAGCAATAGTAGCATATGGCTGTTTTGCACAGGGTTACAGGAGATCAGTGTGAGTCACTGATGTGATGAGGACTCCCTCAACAGTAGTTGTGAGCATTTCTCTACGCAGACCCCTCTTTATCATGAAGCTTGCCTGAAGGGGTATTTCCTCAACCATACAGGAGGGGAAAGTCATGTAGGGGTGATTTCCTGTGCACCTCTAACACACACCTTCTTTCTTCAGGGATGGAGACTACATGAAAAGTCCCATCTTTGTCAGCACAGTGGGGCGGGAGCTCCCTGGGCATTTTCTATGGTGGTTTGTGGATCAGTCTGGCCACGCAGAGGCGAGGGCCTTCAGTTCAGCCGCCTCATCTGCACTTCAAGAATTTTCCTGTTTCTTTTTCCCCATGAAACATCTGAACACATATTGATCTGACCAACTTCCCTGCCATGGCAGGGCAGACACACACATACCTGTCTCTCCAAGCTTCTGGAATCCCACTCTGGAGAGACAGTGGCTAGGAAGAACAATAATGTTCCACAGTGCCAGGAGAAAGGGGTAGAAACCAGAGAGGGCATGGGCAGCTGAGTGAGTTGGGGACAGGCCGATGGCACATATTCTCAGGTGCCAGCCAACTCTGGCCAACCGGGTGGCTATCCAGAGGCCACAGATGTCTATGAGAACCTCAGAGAAAGCCACATACTTTTCCTTGGGGCTCCAATATTTTAAGTTCTTCCTGATACTCCTGGAGTTAAACTTTTGATACTATTTTCAGTCCACATATGGCACAGGACTGCTAATCATTAATTCCTTCTGTTAATCAGAATTCTCTAGGCCTCTCCCAGACAAAACTTCCTTGTCATCTCTCCAAGATTCAGAGCATGATGAATATTATCTAATTAAAGAAAAAAAAACACCATAATGTATGTTGTACTGAACACATTATAGTTCCTGTCTTGTTCAAGTCTCATAATAACCCCAGAAGGTGAGATTTCTACTAACCACATTTTGTGGATGAGAAAACCAAGGTTCTGATGGCAGGTTACTTACCCAAGGTAATAGCTGGTGAATGGCGACAGAGAGAGGGTCAGTTTAATCAGGCTCAGATCACAGCCCCAGCACATTGGGGAGTTTAATTTTCTGCAACTGTTGAGCTATTTTTTTCCTCAGGTTGGGTCAATACAATGGAAAGCTACAACAATGGGGTGACTCAGCGAAGACCAGGGACCTAGGGTTCAGGAAAGGGTATACACGAGAGGAATTTAGAACAGGGCTTGGCATGTGGCAATGCTATACACTGAATATTGGTGTCCCCCTGCAATTCCTGTGTTGAAACCTAATCCCCAGCGTGATGGTAGGAGGAGGTGGTGCCTCTGGGAGCTGACCAGGTCATGAAGGGGAGCCTCTTGAATGGGATAGGGCCTTTACTGGAGAGACCCAGGAAGAAGAAAGCTGTTTATGAACAGGAGACTCTCACCAGACACTCAATCGACCGGCACCCTGATAGACTTGGCAGCACCAGAACTGTGAGAAACAAACCCGGGTTTTTTATACCAGTATTTTATTCTAACCCAAACCAAGACAGCCAACGAAGATAGGCAAGTAAGTGTTCAATGAATAGGTCTTTCTTTCTTTCTTTCTTTCTTTCTTTCTTTCTTTCTTTCTTTCTTTCTTTTTCTTTCCTTCTTTTTCTCCTTCCTCCCTTCCTCCCTCCCTCCCTTTCTTTCTTTCTGATGTTGGTTCCTTTCTGACTATATTATACCTAGGAGGAGAAGAGTCAGCAACACTGTAGGAGAAATCCATTCATCTAACCTCTACCTACATACTTGTAGAAACATAAATCCAATCATAACAAAACTTCTTGAAAGAGTATCTTTGAGCTTAGATTGCTGGAAGTTGAGCAGATCTCTAGGCACCTGAGTTGTCTGGAAAAGTGTCCCTGTGCTTTGTTTCCCCATGTGTGTTAGAGTCAGGGGGTGGGTGGTGGTTGAGCCTATGTTGACCTCATAGGCACGCATCAAAACTAAGAAGTAGGCATATTTTTAACTGCTTATCTTTTACTGGTATTCAGTTTCTCCCCTTCTCTGAATTCCCACAGTGCCCTACTCTCTTCTAACAGGTGCCATCCTTGCATTATGAAACACCTGACCTACATCCTTACTCCTCAAGCAAGCTAGCTCCTGGGAGCTATTACCAGAATGTTAAGAATCTATAATGCCTCTTTATACTCATTACCTTCCCAGGTAACACATTGGAGGCAGTTCATCTACCTTTTAAAAGGAGACTCCAGTGGCGGAATGTCTCTCCATGACCTCAAGATCCAAGCTGCCATCACTTCTTGCCTGGAAAATAGCAACAGTCACCCTTTTGGGGGCTTTCTCTAGCCTCACTTCCACCCCTGTGGCCAAAACAATTTTTTCTTAAAGAGCAAGCTTGGCATTTTACTCTGCTAACATTCTGGGGTGGCTCCCAGTTACTTCCGATATTGTCAAACTTTCTGTCCCAAGCTTTCAAAACCCTGCCTAGTTCTAGCTTTTCCTTCAGCTTCTTGGGTCCATATCATCATTGAAAGAGCTTTCAGGGGCACCTGTCTGGCTCAGTTGGTTGGGCAATCGACTTCAGATTTTGGCTCAGGTCATGATTTCAGGATCCAGGGATCAAGTCCTGCATCAGGTTCTGCACTCAGCATGGAGTCTGCTTGAGGATTCTCACTCTCCCGCTCCCTCTGCCCCATCATCCACTCACATGCTTTCTCTCTAAAGTAAATAAATAAACCTTAAAAAAAAAGTCCTTTCAGTCCATGGGGCACCTGGGTAGCCCTGTCTGTTAAGCATCAGACTCTTGATTTTGAATTGGGTCATGATTCCTGGGTTACAAGATTGACTCCCACTCTGGGCTCTGCGCTCAGCGTGGAGTCCACTTGAGAGTCCCTCTTCCTCTGCTCCTCTCCATACTCACACATTCTCATCCCATCTCTCTTAAACAAACAAACAATCAAACAAATAAAATCTTGTATAAAAATGTGCTTTCAGCCCTTGCATGTGTTCTGTTTTCTCTTATTTCTGGACTTTTGCTCATGGTGTCCCATCTCATCCTTCCCTTCCGTCTGGTTTCTTCTTCCGATCCTTTGGGCTTCAGGCATCACTTTTTCAAGGAAGCATTTCAGAACTCCTCTAGGTTGTCTCACAGCCCAACAATAAGTTGCCCATTCTCCCCCTAGTATAGCCTGAAATCGCTTTAGTCCTTCTTTACAACTTCCATTGGACTGTAAGTTCCCTGAGAGCAGGGAGCTTTTCACTCTAGTTGTAGGCCCACTGCCTGGCATATAGTAGGGAATCAATAAGTACCGGTTGAGTGAATAAAGAGAGGTCCCCCAGTGACAAGAAACACTCCCCAAGCAGAAAGAGAGACAATAAGAATTTTTAATGCATGGAAAGTCCTGCAGGGACTCTGGGCAGACCCACAGGTAGCAGGAAGAGGCAGGGCTCCTGCAAACTCAATAACGTCTGGAAAAAAACAAGTCATAAAGACCCAAGCTTCCTCACTGCAACAATCCTCAGGGCCTCCTTCCTGATGCTGAAGAGGTCATATTGTCTCTCCATAGGTCTCCTTCGGGGTCCATTGCAGGAAGGAAGCTGAGTGTGGCAGGAGGAAGGAAGAAGAGCAAAGGCCGCTTGGTCTCCACCTGAAAGCTCCTGCCTCGGGATTGACTGCCATCCATAAGAAAAAGTTTAAAAAGGAGAGACTTTGATAGAGTCAAATAATATCTTAGAAAAAATAAAAGAGAAAAACGGATAATTCCAGTGGTTACAAAGTTCTCTGCCGGCTATCCACAAAAGAAAGAGTTTGCTTTGGCCTTGCTGGCAAGCCTCATCTGCCAGGCCCATCCTCAGCTGTCCCCCAGCCCCCCCAGGCCCCAGGATCCATGAGAGTACTGCTCCCCCTCCCACGGAGAGTCTCTGTGCTCACGGAGGGCAGCACCCTCCCTCACCGGCCCTTGGACTCCCCATACGTGTTTCGGGCCATGGACACCATCTTCTCCTCGCACGTGATTTTGGTGTCCTTGAGGATGCTGTACCACACCATACCCGCAGGCCGGACCTCCTCGCTGCGGCAGAAAAGGTAGGGCACGGTGTCCACACGGCTCTGGATGTAAGCGCTTCGCAGGAGGCTGGAGCAGTGGCTGCTCACCCTCTCCAGTCGCCGCAGGATCAGGTGGGCCTTCCTGAAAGGGAGGACGAGATAGTGATTAAGAGGTAAGCCCTTGAGTGATGGATAAAGATCAACTGAGAGATGAGGACTTCCTGTCCCAACAATCTCCTATCCATTCCTGGCCAGAGTGTGGGTATTTCAAACACCTATTCGAAAATCACCTCCGAATTTGTCCTCTTCAATCACGTCATGTGTAGAAAATGAAAGCGACATATAACCTTTTGAACCAGTCTTTTTATTTCTAAGATATGAGAGTCCCAGGAATTATAAGGTCACCAGTCTTGGGACTCTGACCAAGTAGAAATTATTATAATAATGCTACCCAGAAATAGCAATCACAACTATAATCTACTGACACCTGCCACACTAGATGCAGAGTAAGTGCTTTACCAATATTTTAAAATTTTATGTAATCTTCACAACAGCCCTGACCATACTCTTCTTTCCATTCACATCAAATGCATGTGAAGCCAAGCTCAGAGAAATGACATTGCATGACCAAGGTCAAACATAAAGTCGGCCATTGGGGCTAGGCATTCAGATCTAGGCCTGAACACCCACATAGTCCCTCTCTAACTTCTGCTTTTGTGTTTCTCTAATTTTCTCATATTCTTTCATTTCTCACAGTCAGGAAATTTGGAAATCGTTCATCAAATCCTTAATATCTAGGTCCCCAAATCAGATTTCTCTGGGCTTCTCATTTTTCTCACTTCTAAAACAGTGGTGATAGTCTTAGCATTCTAAGTGTGGTGAAGATTCACCATGAGAAATGCCCAAAGCCTGGCACAGAGTAAGCTCCCTATAAATGATACCTATGATTATAAAGTATTGTTGTGATGGTGTCTTAGGGTCAAGGTCATACTGAACACTAGTCTAAGCAAGAATCACCCTGTCCTGTGGTGATCATCATTAGTAATGTATCTGTCACCCTTTAACTAGGACCAGAGAGGGCATCCCTCAGGAGGTCTGACAGCTGCATAGAAAAATCAAAGCTAGCAAGGATCTCCCAGATCCTTGGGTTTCTTGATGACAGCACTATTGACATTTGGGCCAGATAGTTCTCTGCTGTAGGGACTGTTTTTTAGGAAGTCTAGCAGCATCCCTGGGCTGCTTGCTGCCCTTTAAATACCAATAACACTCCTTTGGCCCAGTCATAGCAATGAAATGGTCTCCAGGCATTGTGAATTGTCCTCTTGGGGGTAAAAATTGCCCCAACTGGGAACCACTGACCTGGTCTGACCTACCCTTATTAAAGATGTGAAAACTTAGGCTTAGAGAGTGAAAGGGATGCCCTTTTCCTGGGTCATACCATACGTTAGCCTCACTGTCAAGGTGTCTGTCACCATGCAGAATCCAATTTTCTCTACATTCCAATACCTTCAAGATACCCAAGGGCTAAATGAGCAGCTCTCTCATGTTGTCCTCTCAATGCTCCTCTGAGACCCCAGGAGGGAGGGTGTTTTACAACAACAGACCCCACAAATGGGAGACTGTGTTAGGCACCTGCATGGCAGCTGGAAAAGGGCCTGGCTTCTGTGTGTGTGTTTTGTGGGCATGATTTATGAGGTACATTTCAAAAAGTCCTCTTTGTATAGTTCACCACTTGGGTGGAATATTTCCTGAGGTGCCAAGAATTCATAGCTTCATAATCACACTCGAGTTGCCACTCTGCCCACAGTCCTCTCTTCCCGCTGGCAGGCACCTCCCAAAGAAGAGCCTGACAAGTCCATCTCCTCCTGGTTTGAGCCCTTACTCTGTTCTTTAATAGCTCTGTGTCCTTGGAAATCTACTTAATGTCTCTAAACCCATGTCTTCACTTGAAAGATGGGGCTGTTGTGAAGTTACAGGAGATAAAGTCATTGACTGATCATTTACTGAGCATTTATTTTACAGTAGGGTTCCCACTTTGGTGTGAAAGACAGACAGATGGAAAATTATAACACAAATAGCAAGAGCGATAAAGAGGAGGTGTAGGGGTTGAGGGGAGTATAGGAAGGTATCTAGGTAGGAGTGGGAATATCCAAGGAGGCTTCCTAGTAGACAGGCAACTTGTGTTGAGTCTCAAAAATGAGTTGGGGTGAAAGATGACAAAGGCATAATAAAAGGCAGAGGTAAAGGCATAAAGATTAGAGATTACATAGGAGTTCTGAGGATTTATGGCTGGAATACCATGTGCAAGTGGGCACACAGTGGGGAAACTGGAGAAGTGGCAAGAGCCAGGCCATTGAAGCTTAGGATGTTGGTTGTACAGAATAATGGTACACCACCCAGGCTCTGGAGCATGACTGCTCAGGTTCAAATCCAGGCTCAGCCACTTACTAGCTCTGTGATATTGAGGGAATTGTTTAATCAAGTGTGACCCAGTTTCTTTATCCATGATATGGATGAAATGGGAATAATACCTGTATCACCACAAAGCTTGTTTTTTTTAAAAAATGATGAATCTATAACAAACCTACAACAAATGATATATAAATATATAACCACCTCCCATCAGTATCCTTATTTGTGTACCCGTGTAAGCCTAGAGCACCTTTGCAAGTCAATGGCAGGAGACAGACAGAAATAGTAACAGCCTCTAATTTGGGGTCAGAGTTCTGGGTCGGAGACACAGTATGTGCTCTGAGAATATAAAAAGAGGCCACCTAATCATAAATTTGGGGGCTTGGAAATCTTCCCAAGGGTTGTAACGTCTGCATCAGGACTTCAATGACAAGACAGGTTTTTCAGGTAGATGGGTGGCAGAGGAAAGAGCCTACCTAAAGTTAGATAAGAGAAAACATGAACCACCAGTGCTTTGAAATAGAGTGAAGAACGGGTGAGAGACTAGTCAGTTTGGCAGATATCAGACCATTGAGGCTCTTCAAAATCATGGTGAAGTATTATAGTTTGGAGGCAATGGAGAGTGACTGCTGCAGACAGTCACAAGAAACAAGCTACAAATATAAAATGAGGTTGGAAAGGGAAATTCCTCCAACATGTCCAAAAGCTTTGCCCCCAAAGGCCCAGCCACCTCCTCAAGGAGAATCCTGGAACTCAACTGAACCAAGTTAAATGGGATGGGAACACTGAGGTATGGAGTGAGAAAGTCGTTTAAGAGAACAACTTAAATTAGTAACAGGGGCAGAGCAGGAACCAAAGTTCCTGACTGTACAGAGCCAAATTGAAATACATGAACCTGGAGTCACAGATTCAAATCCTAGTTCTATAACTTAACAGCTCTGTGCATCATCAGAAAGTTCTTTGATGCCGCTCTTCGTTATGGCATCAATAAAACGCAGGCGATTGCAGTGTTTTGGGGAGACAGAGATAATCTGAGTAGTTTGCTTACTCCTAGTAAATGTTAGCCAAGATCCAAATAGCATACTGTAGTAGACAGGGCACAGGCTGACCATTAGAGTGGTCACTTCTGCTCTGTAAGTCTGTCTGTCCATTTGTAAAATGGGATTAGAGATGCTTATTTCTAGTGCTGTTGTTAGCCTGAAATGAAGTGCCTGCCCTAGGCATCCAGCACAGAAGTCTGTACATAATAGGCACTAAACCTGTGTCAGTTCACTTAACTATCCCTGTTCTTTTTCCAGTGCACACACTGCCTCAGACCTTGGCTTGCATTTAGCCAACAAAGACAGGAGAAGTCAGAAGGTGACACCATGGAGAGAAGGGTTGGAGGTGCTCAAAGGCCAGAGAGGAGGAGGCAGGAGTGAGAGACCAAAGGCGAGACTGCTCGGCAATAAATCTGTAGGCAAAGGAGAAGCATAAATCAAAGGCCAGGCATGGTCCAAGCTTTCCCTGGAGAGGGAATCGTAGGTCAGAGTGACCACTTTTCTCAAATACCGGAAATGAAATCTTCCTCACAGAGACAGGACCCAGGCCCACTGGAATAGGAAGCCAAAGGTAAAGGAGTGACACCACACATTAATTTATGGTTGTATTAGCAAGCGAGGCTGAGACAGGAATGGCTTGTGGAGGAGTCAGGGGCTGAGTTCTGATGCCACTTCTCCGGGAACTGTAGAACCTTTGACCGATCATTCTATTCCCAGCACCATTACCCAATCAGCTGTTGACACAGTTAGTGGATAGAGACCTAATTTCTAAGGGGGCCTTGGAATGGAGAGGGATAAAAAAAGAGGCAGTAAGGAAACATTCCTATTGGCCTCTCTCCCTCCTCCCTATCTCCTTGAGTTGAGCTTAAATGTCTCTGTGTTAGCTGACCTCAAGCTTAATGAGAGTTGAGGGCATGACGTGGTTGCACAAAAATGGGACACAACCTCCAGAAGCAGATAGGGCAGATTAAGAGAAAGAATGACTTCATTCATATTGCCCTGGTCAGGCCACATCTGGAGAACCCCAGTCACTTCTGGTAAGAGGGACCTATGCAAACTCTAGTCAGATCATGATGCTGAAAATTGTCTTACAAGCAAGTCTTAGGAGAAAGTGTGGGAAGCAGGAATGGAATGTGTCCACAGAAGGGGGATATTTAGGCAAATGGTTGTGTTGTCCTAATAAATAAAGGTTGTGTGTGTGCGGGGGTGGGGGGTGGAAACTGAAACTAAATATAATCCTTGCCACAGTTCTAGAGTTATACTTTAGTCCCAATGTTTAGGTAGTAAAAGTGAGCTCAGGCTGGTCATATAATTTGACCAGGGTTAACCGTGTGGAAACAGCATCTAGACCTCTGTTGCAAGGCACCCCAGTGTTATCAATGACGTCACCTTCAAATTAACAGAAGGCAAATGTTGACTCAATATAATTTAAAAAAAAATTAAAACTGGAGCCCTCTGAATATAGAATGGATCTTTCCATATTTTCAGTGGGCTTCCTTCCCTGGAGATGATCAAATCAAGTATGTTTTGGAAAGGAGTTTTAGTCTGTTTGGGCTTATGCAACAAAATACCACAGGCTGGGTAGCTTATAAACAACACAGATTAGTTCTCCGAGTTCTGAAGGTCAGGAAGTCCAGGCTCATAGCACTGGAAGATGCAGTGCAGTGGCTGGTGCGAGGTAGCTTCCTGGTCCATAGACAGTCCATTCTGGCTATGCCTTCACATGGTGGAAGGGGTAAAGGATCTCTTTGGTGCCTCTTCTGTAAGAGTAGAGGTTCCCATTCAAAAGGGATCCATTCTCATGACCTAATTGCCTCCCCAAAGCCCCATCCCTAAATACTATCACCTTGGACATTAGATTTGGGACTTGAGAATTTTCAGGGATACAATATTCAGACCATAGCAGAATCTAATAAATAATTGTAGAAGTTGGAGAAGATTTTTGTTGTTTTGTTTGTTTTCAATCTAAAGGAATTAGGGGCTTTGTTCACAAAGAAATGCCATCTGATGAGCATCTGATGAGCACTTCACAACAGAACCTGGTGTGACACAACTGTCGAGACATGGAGTTCCTCATGGGAGAGGACCACATGTGTTGAGGTTCATGCTTCAAAGTCATGCCGAAATTTCATCTTCAGGAAGTCTTCCAGATTTTCCCAGCTATCATAAGCCATCTTCCCCCTCCTTTTGCTACTGAATCCTTTTGTTTCTCTGTTGTGATACATACTATGTTCTGCCTTAGTTGTGTGCTTATCTTGGGATGCAATGTGCTATAATGGACAGGATATTGGTTTTAATTTTGCATTTTGAGGTTAGTTTAAATTTTGCCCCTGATAGTTACTAGCTGTGTAACCTTAAACAATTCAATTCAATTCCACTGATTCTCCAGGGCTTACTCTTCAAAATCGATGGTTCAGGAGATGAAATGACATATAAATGACTGGGCCCATAATAGGAACTCAACTAATATCTCCCACTGCTTCTTGGACTATGTAGAGTCCTCCTGTTGCCCAGGTCCTGGTTGCACAAGAAGAAGGAATTAACAAGGGTAAACTGGCTTGAACTGAGGAAATTCTCAGTCCCTAGCTTTTAAAATCCAGTAATTCTCTAGCAGGAATTGATAAACAGAATGAAATGGCACAAGAGCATCGATGTGGACCTAGGGAAGTAATCTGGCAAATGGGCAAAACATTTATATAGATTTGCTTATAACAGCAAAGCATTTGGAAGAAACCTTGTTGGTCTTTAATAAAAGGCTCAGTTAACATATGATACATTCATAAAATTGCATGGCTAAAGGGCCCTCCCAGATAGCATATGTGCATATGCATCCAGGAGAAAAGACTTGTTAAGTATAAACAGGCAGATACCAGAATCTAGTATACATATTTGTTGAACATTTCAGAGTTGGTGGAAATAGGGCTGTGGCTGTAGATGCAGGTATATCCATAGGCCTGTACCAGCATCCCTATTCATGTGCACATCCATGGAATACCTGTATCAACATCTGGAAAGTGCAGGGCTAATGATTTTATCTCTGGGTTGGGATAATGGGATTCAGAGGTGCAAACTGTTCACTTTCCATTTTTTAAAGATTTTATTTATTTATTTATGAGAGAGACAGACAGACAGACACAGGCAGAGGGAGAAGCAGGCTCCATGCAGGGAGCCCGATGTGGGACTCGATCCTGGGTCTCCAGGATTATGCCCTGGGCTGAAGGTAGGCACTAAACTGTTGAGCCACCCAGGGATCCCCACTTTCCATTTTATGTATACACCCACATCATGCAGATGTCATAGAGTAAGAATTACTTTTAGAACAAAACACAATACGGCATTTCCATTTTGAAGATAATGTTTATATAAACATATATTTTATAGTTGGTGTGATGAACTTGTGCAATGAAACCATGGTTTTATGGATTCCCGGTTGTTCACTGGGGTCATTTTCAGAATAAATACACATAAAATCTAGCCTTGGACTACTCCCCCAAAACAGAAAACCTGCAGTACAAATACTGCCACCTGGATATGTATCTTCAACATCAGGTTTGAAATGTGATTCGTAAGGTAAACAGTGAAAATATTTACATTTTGTCCTCTTATTCTCTCACAAGAAACCACAAGACCTGCCCCAAAATCCATTCCTTAACTGAGGTTGAGTTTGACAGAATTTCAACTAACCCAGTGGTTTCAGTGTGGAATGGATACAGACTTCAAGACAGCAGCCAACCTTGTTATACCATCAGTGGGAACAATGATCCATGGGACACTTGTTCAAAGTCCTACTGTGTTTTGTTTGTATTTATCCACTCTAAGGCAACTTAAGTTACATGAAATGCCACCGACTTAATAGCAGCCTTTTAAGGAAAGAAGAAAGAATGTAACACTTAGCGTGCACATCCATTGTACACTGTCCATCCTGATTTCAGAAATGTCAAAATATGCAGAAAAATTACAAGTGTCTCTGAGATCCATAGGAATATGGCCCTAGAAGCCTAAGTGTGCTTTTGTTCCCAATATCCTAGAAATTCCAAAAGACTTAATCCATGATAGCTTAAGGAAAGAGCTAACATTATCTTGACCTGCAAGAATGTACAGTGACATCAAATTTGCTTATTTTCACTCTGGACACAGAAACCATGGTTCATAGAAATGTGCCAACTCTCCTCAGATGGGAAAGGCTTGTCTTGCTATGTTGAGAAAAATCCCAGGCTAAACCAAGCCTGTGACGATGTCTGCGATCTATTAGCAATGTCTGCCATGGAAGAAAGAGGGGCTGAGATAGTAAATATACTATTACTAGTCCAGAGAGATGAATTCGCAGAAACAACATCTCTTCTGTGCTTGCTCTCTTCTTTCTACTCTATCATTTCAGCCAAATGTAGCTGAGAGGATCGAGAAGCCCAAGAGTGGTCAAGGGTGTTCTGACTGAAGGCAATTCTGGTCCTTAGCCACCTATGAGCTCAGTTCCTCACGTCTCCTAATAGGAACTGTATGGTTGGGACAGCGGCTGTCAGCAGGTCTTCTCTGAGCAGCTGTTTGCGACACCTGTGGCTGCCACGGGAACCAGGATCTGGAGGCCACTGGCCTGATAGACTTCCTAGGCAGAGGTAAGAGATGCCCTTTTATCACTAAACTACATGGAGCTATGTGACTACAGATATAGGGAGAGGTACAGAATATTTTGGGGTTTGGTGATTCGGGCCAAGAGAATCCTAATAGAGTTCGTCCCATGGCATAAGTCCTCCTGGAAGGAGCTCTTAACATCCTGACCAGCCTAGGTCCCTGAGAATCAGGGCGTGCTGAGTGGAGGGGAAAGGACAGTCTGAGTGTGCCTCTCTGCCCTTTATGACCTTTAGGGCTTTTGGTTCCTTGGCTTCCCAGCTGGAAGGGACTTTGGAGCCCAGCCCTTTTATGTTACAAGTGGGGTCCAGAATGGCAATGGAATTTGTCCAAGGTCACACAGCAAGCAGATGGCAGATGTAGGACAGGAACCAAAAGTTCCTGGCTCCAGGGCAGTGTCTTGCCCTCTTCCCTTTACACTTTGCAAACCCTTCAGAGTCATGGCATATTTACCCAAACTGCTCCTCTGTTTAAGACCTTTACCTGGCTTTTGGGAGAAAGAACAATCTCCTGAACAGAGCTCACAAAAGCCATCATGATCTGCCCTCTGCTGACCTCACCACCTTGGTTCCCCCACCTCCTCACCTTGAACTCTCTGTTCCAGTGAGATCTGTACTTCTTGGCTCAAGTGTATCCTCTTAACGACCCACCCCAACACTCATCTTTGCACTGGCTGTTCCTTGTGATGAGAACATCCTCTCCCTTCTGCCTGGAGGACTCCAGTTCATCGTTTGACGCTAGGCACAGACCTCATGTTCTTCCCTGTGGATCATTCTTTGAGGTCCAGGTCTGGATCAGCTGTGCCAGCTATTGCCATCTAGGACCTTATCACTCCCAAGTGTGCTTTTGGGAATAGCAACAGGGGCATCACCCCAGAGCTTAGTAGAAATGCAGAATCTCAGGCCAATCCTAAGCCACTAAGTCAATTTGAAACTCAGCAAGGCTCTCAGGGGATTTTCATGCACATTCCAATTAAAGAAGCCCTCTGCTGTAGAACAAACTCCCTGTCCTCCTTTTTATGGCACATGCTTCCTATTGCATTTCACTACAACTGTTTACAGACTTTTTCTTACTAGATGCTGCTCCCTGTAAAGGCAGGATCTATCTTCTTCATTCATATATTCCCCAGCCCATAGCACAGAACTGGGCACATAGTGGGCACGTTAAATGAATTAGTGAATAAATAAATGAATTAATGAAGTGTGGTCTCCTCAGCTCTCTCAGTATTTGCAAGGACAATACATTTTTTTATTCCTATTTTTGAGTAGGAAAGACCTTAGAGTTCATGGGATTCAATTGTTTCCAACTGTGACCCACAGATCTTTGAGAGCTCAGAGAGACCTAAGGGTCCCTTGCGACTGGGAGAAAGAGTAATTGAATGGAGACCCATTAGGTGGGGCTCCAGACCACCCTCTCTAGCTTCTACCAGAACAACCGTTCAATCTTCTGAGCCACAAATCCACTCATCCTGTTATCCAATTATTTAACAAGTAGTTATTTGGCACCCACTTAGAATAGAGACTAGGACATAAAGAATCACTAAGTACATATAAGCAGACATTGTAGTGCAGAAGAGAGAGAACACAATGGTAAACACATAAGCAACACGAGATACTGAAACTAGTAGGTATGATGCAGAAAATTAAAACATGAGGGTGTTGATTAGGAGAACAGGTAGAAATTTTAGAGGACTCTCTGAGAAAGTAGCATTCTAGTTAAGACCTGGGGTTATACATAAGATCTATTTAGAAAAAAAATTACTGCTAAAAAGAAAGGGTACCCCTGCCCTAGTTCATCATCATCATTTTAAAGATGAGGAGGCTGAGGGCCAGAGAGAGAACCAGAACCCAAGGTAGCCCAGTGAGGATAGATTAGGATGCAGCTATCCTGATGCCTGCTGACATGCCCATGTGGGATGTTAGCGGAATCTCATATCCTCCCCCAGAGACTACACAGACTGAGAAGGGAGGAAACTGGGTGACACCAATCTGGGTTGGCGGACAGTGACTGGTGACGGGTTGGCTGGAGGTTACTGGGTTATCACAGTCCATTACCAAGTGGGTTGTCCTGCCTCTGTGGGAGGCCAGGCACCCTTTCCAGAAGATTTATGTCCTGGAAGGTCATAAAGGAACCCAGAAGGTTGTAAAGACAAAGTCAGTAGCGGAGCTCTGGTTTAGCTTCCACCCAAACTCTCTGAGCCCTGTGGGAAAGCCCCATAAAGTGGGATGCCTTTCCCTGTCCATGGGCAAGATGGCAGCCCGGATGACTCACACAGTGGCTTTCATCTGGGGCTCTGGGCTTCTGCCTGTCTGCCCTCTTTTAGCTTTTATCTAAAGAAGCTTTCTTTCATGTGAAAGAGAAAAAAGTTATAGTCCAGGACCCAATGGGCAGATAAGGTCTATTCCAGGGAGAGATCCCTTTTATCCCTGACCAGGCTCTCATCCGTTCCCTTGAGGGCCTCCAGTCCTTGGAAGGATACTGCCAGTGTTGTAAGGGCTCGGAATGAGAGCTCAGGGAAGAACCAGCCTCCATATCAAACTATGCAACTGTAGGCAGCTCATTTAACCGCATGGGGCCCCCAATTCCTTATCATCTGCAAGATGAGAATATCCTACTTTGCCCAGTTTACAGGGTAATTTTAAAGCTTTTTAAAGCACAGAGTGCCACTGACTAAGTATTCCAGCAAGTCACACAATTCTCTCCCATGCTACCAGTACTACCCTGCCCCAGAACACCACACTATCTCCCCCAGACGACTGTAAGAGTAGCCTCGAGGGCCTCACTACCTCCCTCCTGTCTTGACCCCTCTTGAACGTCTAAGCTCCCAACTGTGGTCAGAGGGATCTTTATCCCTCCGAAGATCTGCTAATATCACCCCCTTGTGAAAAACACTTGAAAAGCTTCCCATTACCCTAGGGAGATAATCCAAATGCTTTAACCCTACTTACAGGGCATTCAGGACTGGCCCCTACTGACCTCTCCCTTCTTATCTTTTACCACTCCTGCTGTCACACACTTTGCTCCAACTATAGGGAAATTCTTTCAGTTCCTCTACACATAGTGTTTACCAAAGTGTAGAAGGGGTTCCCCAGGGGCAAGAGAAAGGATTTTAGGTGGTGCTACAGATAATCACAGACTCAGCATTAAACAACAATGAATCACACTGGGAAAGGCAGTCAGATTCTCTTTTTCATTCTCTTCCTCTGCTCCAGATTACTTTTAAAAAGAAACTCTTGGTTCAAGACTGTGTCTTCAGTACTCCCTAACACTTGCTAATCTCCTTTTTAAATGCAGAGCCCCCATGCTCTACCAGGATTGAAGAGCATTGTTTCCTGTTATTATTTTTTCCTTCCATTGTATCAAATGTTTACATTTAATTTTCTATTAAACATAGATGGTACTACCCGTCCCTTTATAAAATGATACAGTGTTTTCAAACAGATTTTCAGTGAGATGTAAATCTATGAAATATCAAAACAAAAAGTGCTTACGGCATGGTGATACACCCAAAATAATAAAAGCAGCAGGCAAATGATGAAAATTTGAGGGAAACCCTGCCCTAAGGTGACACTATCTCCTTTGTATATTTCCCAGGCTGGTCACTCTGCCCTAAACTCACCGAACCCCCTCTCCTTCCTCTTGTCTGACCCCTATTCACTATGTCAGTCTCAGTCTCAGCCCCTGGGAAGGCTTCGCTGGGTTACCTAGACTAGATGATTCTGCTGTGCCTCCCCAAAGGGCCCTGTTCTGTTCTGTGCTCATTATACTTACCATTCCTATTCTTTTCAATTGCTTGTTTAATTACCTCCAACAGTGAGCTTATCCCTTTTTGTCGCTGCATGGACAACAACCAACTGGTAAGAGGTGCTACTAAGTAAGTGATGAATGAATGAATGAATGAATGTTGTTAGGTGCAAGGCATAAAAACATAACCACTACTTCATATACTACTTTATGAAGCTTCAGAAAATAGTGATTGTCTTAGGTACGTTTGAATCCTCCATGGTTCCTAGCACAGCGATTGGTACAGTCACTGCTGGTGATAAAGATCATGTCTTAATACACATTGAATTTAGGAAAGTATTTAGTCATGGTCACTAATGGACTTTATTCTAGAAAACCTCAGAGTTGTTCTTTTTTTTTTTTTAAGGGGGAGAGAGGACGGGAGGGAGGGAGAGAGAGAGAGAGAGAGAGAGAGTCAGGGGAATGGGGAAGAAGGAGAAGGAGATAGAGAATCTCAGGCAGGCTCCAATGCAGAGCCTGATGCAGGGCTTGATCTCTTGACCCTGAGGTCATGACCTCAGCCAAAATCAAGAGTCGGACCTTTAACCAACTGAGCCATCCAGGTGCCCTTAGAAAACCTCAGATTTCTTATGGAAATGGGAGGAAAGCCCTAGATTAAGGGCCATGAGCCTGCCGCTGTACCCTTTCACGGTCTTGGTTAGGACATATCTCCTCCAGGAGTTCATGGTTCCCGTCTCCAACACTAAAGGTGGAAGGTGGGTAAGGGGAGTGACTGAGGGAAACAGTGCTGAATGTCTTATCTGACATTCCAGAAGTCTAAGAAGCTAAAATTCCAAGAATCTGTCATTCTCTCTGCCCCTTTCCAATTTCTCACCCTGACATGACTAAGGTAGATGACACTCTTATTTATTTGACAAAGCCCACTGTTAGCCTATGGAATAAAGGGTCTTGTAAAATCAGATAGAAGCCAGAAGGATCCACCACTCCATTCACACTCACACACCCGTCCATACCTGGGCCCAAGCTCATCCTCACTCCTCCAGACAAAGTCGCCAAACTTCTCGTAGTGAGAGTTGTAGTGGTGCTGGACTCGGAACAGCATTGAGGCCGAGACCTCCATCAGCGTGTTGTAGGCAGTCTGCTGCTCCTTTCCACTTGTATACCCATTGTACAGATTGTAGATCTTGTCTGCTATCTCTGAGGGGGAGAAGTGCAGGCATAGATCACTGGACAGCAGGAAAAAGTGAGCATGGAAACACACCTTGCCACAAGGAAAGCACATTTGTGCTGGAATTCACGTGTGTGATATTCAAGGGCCGACAGACTATCAGCTGGAAATAGCAATGTTTATTCTGGGGATGTGCTGGGAGGATGAAATTAAAAAGTGAACGTAAAGCACTCAACACAGGCCCTGGCACAGAGTTAGTGCTCCTAATTCACAAGCTTTGTTATTGACATATATTTGGTATCCATGATTTCACATAAAATTCCAAACAAACGCAGAGGCTTAAATCTACTGTCTTGGGCTCATCTCAGCAGTCTACTTCTATCTTCTCTCTGTAGTTTTTCCAACATAGTTCTGTGATCAGGTCTAAGAAGTTTCCATTCAAAACACCTCTCAAAGAAAAACCAGACTCTTCTGCTCACCATATATGGCAATTTCTGTTCCTTCAGTTGTTCCTAGAAATCGATGTAACTTAAAGTCATCATGGGTAGCTCCCTTTGAATGGAAGGCCCGTTCTTTCATCTGTGAAGACTCTGATCAAAATTCATACACATCCCCAAGTCTTTGTGAACAGTGATTGCCTCTAGAAGAATCTGGGGGACTCAGGTTTAGGATGGAAGGAGCATTTAGTTCATAGTATTTCCACTCTGGTTTTAATTTTTCTGTCTTTTTTTAAACATATGCATGTGTTATTTTAAAATAATTGATGATGATGATGATTATTATTAATCATCATCATCATCAATGATCAGGAAACCAACCCAAACCCCCTTACCTTTGAGATTTGATAGCTCCTCAATAGGAAGACTATTTCCTCTTGTCCGGTAGCACACAAAGCATGTATTATGGAGCTTATTATTGAGCCATTTATAGAAATGTCTCTCTCTCTGGAAGACTAGAATGTGAGTTGCTAAAAGGTGAAGAGCATGTCTCTTCTGCATTGCTCTAGTACCAGTGCTCTTAGAAAACATTTGCTCCATTTGAAGTGAACCATTGGGTTCTCACAATCTACACCAGGTTTTTGCCAGTCCTGCTATAGACACTTCATCCTCATGTCAGCTAAGAACTAAGTACATGGTGAGTCTGACTGACCGGTTCTATTTTTTTTTTCCCGAGGTGCCTGATGCTTACAGCTTTATGGGCCAGGAGCAGCATAAAGGTTTAATCCTACTTGCCAACTTGGATAGTCACTGCCTATAGCTCAATGCTGAGGGGTCTGAGGCCACCCCTAGAGCAGATGGAGATGCATGCTGTGATGAGCTATTGGTACCTGCCATGGGCTTAGTGGTGGAGTGGTCTATTGTCACCTACATGCCAACCCTAGCATAGACAGAAGTGGAAAAAAGTGGTCTCTAAAAAGCCTAGGCTAAGGGGCAGGACATAGTCATGGCGCTCTGACTCTCCACCACTCCTTGCCTCTAAGTCAGAACACAGACACATGCTCTGAAAGAAGGGCAAGTCTTTCCACTGGCTAAGATCTTGCTGGTAAATCTCAACTTCCTTCGTGGCTTTGATTAATTTAGTTCCCTATTCCTTCTGTCCTCTTAGTCTCTTCACTTTCTTCAACCTGTGCCAATACATGTATGAGGCAGGAAAGGGGTAGTGGTTAGGGACTGTTGGGTATAGAACTTAGAGAGGAAATATGGGAGTTACCTGGGAAGTGAAGAAATGGATAACCCACCTTCTGCCTTGTTGTCATCCACCAGCGGACAGGCTGTCCTCAGGGTCACTGTGCTGAGCTCTGAGTGCCTCCCTCGTGTATCCACAGCATACAAAGTGAACCTGTAGCAGAGCAAGAAAACAGAGTACTGGGTTGTGGCTTCAGAGAAGGCCCTGGAAGTTGTAAGGTGGAACACGAAATCATAGTGTAAGTTCAGCAGTCAAAAGGTGTCAGGGATGCTGAGACTACAAGAGAAGAGATTTTGGGGAAAAAAAGAAAGCAACTGTGAAGCATTAATTGGGCACCAAATGCCTGCTGGGCACTTTGCACTTACTCTCTTATTTTCCAAGTAGGCAAGTCTGGAAGGTGGGGATTAGTGTCACCTGTACCTCAGTGAGGAAACTGAAATTTGATTTTACATCTTCCTGTGGTCTCACAGTTACTTAGGGACAGAGCAGTCTGAGTCCTGGGCTTTGGAAGTGAACCCCAGAGCTACCTGGCATGGCTGGACATGCTCATTTGCATGTTCTTTCATTCATCCACTTAACAGTTACTGAGCATTAACTGTGTGCCAGGAGCTCTTTTATTCCTATACTGCATGAGCTGCGTACTATGACTGCATTTTATCAAGAAGGACACTGGTTCCAAAGAGGTCATGTAATTGCCCTATTATTTATTACATATTAAGGAAGTAGCAACAGAGGACCAGAACTTAGGTCTGCCTGGATCCAAAGATTAGATACCTAACCACACTGTCAAATCTAATTCCACCTTTTATCTTTCATTAGCTGGCTTGGAGTGCTGGCAAAGGTAAGGAAGGGTGGGGCTGTCCCTAAAACATAGGTCTTAAGAGGCCTAAACATGGGGTATGTTGGCCGCATATTCATTAAAAAGCTAAGCTATTCATCTGCTTTCTGGGTTTTTGGCTTCCACCTTTGGTATAAGAACAACAGCACTGTGATGTGGGCACTACGTCTCTCCTGTTGTATCTCAGCACTGTGAGTGGAGCTCAGTTGTAGGGCTTACTACCTCTAGTACTGTGTTAGCCAAGAGAAGCAAAGGTGACAGAGGAAGGAGCCTGGTCTTGAAGACAGTCAGACGTGGGCTCATATTCTATTCTATTCTATTCTCTTCCCTTGCTCCGTGACCTCAGTTGAGTCACTTCTCTGTGCTTACTTCATCTCTCTGAATCAGGCATCTCTAAAGGCTACATGGGTGAGTTATCATTGAAAAGCCTTGCAGAGGCGTTAGAAGTAAGATGACAAACTCCAGGAAGTGAGAATGAGCCAGCGGCAGAGTAGGGAGGTAGGGACAGTCCTGGGTAACACTGCGTAAGCACTTACTACCCTCCCAGCAACCCATCTAGAAAGCAGCAGAGGCCGGATCCAAACCCTGGTCTGCGGCTCCCAGAGGGAGTGTATACCTATATACCGCAGCTTGAGTACAGCGATGTCCTGGCACTTACCAGGACTGGGTATGGATGGGAGGGACTCGGTAAATATCTGAGTAAATGAATGAACCCGAGCATATCACATCTCATTTCCTAGTCATTTCTACATCAACAAGTTGGGGATAATTGTAGAGACAGTGCATGACTGTCTCAGAGATCACATAGAGTGATACACGAGAAGTGGCTCATAAGCTGCAGATTTTTATAAAGACCATGTAAACAGCACGGATTTGTACAAGAGTACACATTTTAAAAATGCTTTCTTGGAGAAGAGGCGATGCATTTCAAGTGAGGGTAACATGGAAGGATGTAGTGAATGGAATATGTGAATTAGCCTCAAAACATGAGGAGTTGGAAACTTTTTTTAAACACGACTTTCCCACTGGCCGCTGATGTTTCCATGGCACTTCTGCAACACACTCCCTCCACCAAGAGGGTCTAGGGTCACCTCCCTGCCAAGCAGCATGAATAACAGCATTCCGGGGAAGAAGCCGCCTTAGATTTTCAAGTTACGAAAACTGCATAGAGGGGCCCCTGGGGGGGCTCAGGGGTTGAGCGTCTGCCTTTGGCTCAGGGCATGATCCCAGAGTCCGGGGATCAAGTCCCACATTGGGCTTCCTGTGAGGAGCCTGCTTCTCTTTCATGAACAAATAAATAAAATATTTAAAAAAATAATAATAAAACCTGGGAAGAATCCTTGCTTTCCTCAGCTGCTGGCTGAGTATTCTCTGGGCTTCAGTCTTGGTAGAGAGGGTGAAGTTATCCATCCCTCACAGGTTTGGGGCCAAGACTCAATGATACAACGATAGATCAGGCCTGGCTCAATCTTTGCTCCCCAAAAGGTAGCTTCTATTTGTGTCATTAGAGTAAACCAAATGTGTCAGTGGAGGCCTCGGTGTGGAGGAGGCCTCAGGCCACCCTGCTGGCGGGGGCGGAGGGGTGGAAAAAGAGGAAGATGTCAACCTCACAGGCCTGGGTCAAAAGTCACAAGGCCAAGCGCTTTCTGCCCGGCTCAGCTGTAATTGTAGAACTGTTCCAGAGACACATCTGAAAGCTGTTAGGGGACCCGGCAGAGCTTGGAGGGGCTCTTTGTGAGGGGAAGAAAGTGGCGGCCCCTCATGTGAAGAAGGAGAGGGAGCTAGAGACTGAGAAGCAGAGGTAGGGACACACCCACACAGCAGAGTGGAAAGTGGGGATGGAGAGAGAGAGAGAGAGGGTGCAGGCGGACCTCAGGGTCACTCAGGGGATTCAGGAAAGGTGCCAGCTGCCTTCACCTCAGTTCTTCCATCTTCTCTGTGCCCACCGGAGCAGGCTGAAGTCCACCGATAATCTGAATTAGAACCCCTGAGTCATCACCAAACTCCATGTCCTTATTTCCACATGGGGAAACGGAGGCCCAGAGAGGAAAGATGCTTAATAAAATCAGAGTAGACGTTGGCTTTTCTGACCCCCGCCCCAGTGCTCCTTCTATACACTACCCTGCTTCTGGTGCCACTGGCTGAGTTAGGTCCCACTGCACCTACAGGAACTTTTATTACAAAAGAGGTAGCTCCAAGGATGGAGCGGGATGGGCGATTTAGGAACTGAAGTTCCAGGCTCAAACCCTATTCTTTTCTCCGACTTTGTTTTAGGGGAAAGAACAGTGGCCAAGGGTCCTGAACCAAACAAAACGAACACACACTCATACCCGTAAGTACACAGAACCAACCAGTGGTTGTCAGAGGGCTCGGGTGTAAGGGGATAAGCAAGACAGGTGATGGGAAGTAGGAGGCACGGCCGTCCAGTTATGAAGAAGTCAGGGGATGAAAGGTCCAGCATGGGGAATATGGTCGATGGCATCTAATAGCGTTGCCTGGTGACAGATGGTAACTACCCCTGCGTGATGTAGAAAGTTGTTGAATCACTACGTTGTACACCTGAAACTAATGTAATATAGTGTGCCAGCTATCCCTGAATTAAAAGAAGAGGAAACTAAGCTCTTGTCCCAGGTTTTCCACAGACTGGGGCCTGCGAGATCTTGGATGACTAAACAATATGGCCTCCATGTGCTGCGATTTCAAAGTGCGGGCAAGTGCCTTGGGATTGACTACACAAATGCAAAGTATTATTTAATGTTTCTTCATCACCCTCGGGACTAAATCCAAATCCCTTACCAGGGGCTCAGTGCAGCTCTTTGGTCTTCACTCATTTGACTGTCCTAATATCATTGAACCTCAAACTCTGGCTACACATCCAGCCTCGTTTACCGATCTTTGCTTCCTATTCTTGTTTCATAGTAGAACCGTAGCAAACCGCCAATGGTTCCATGATATGGAATCTACCTCTGGGCCTTTGCACATGAATACACCTCTGTGTGGCTCATCTTTGCCCTTCCCCAGTTGACCCCTTCTACCTTGTGCTTGGAGCATCAGTGGAGCCCCATCTCCTCCAGTAAACCTTCCTCTGCCCACGGTGCCCTGTTACAGCACATGCCGCAGGACTAGGTCAGTGCTCATACACTTCTCTCTTGCCCCCAGGAGTACGCATCTTCAGGACTGGAATACGGCGCTGCCCATCTCTATCCACCCACCGACATCTGGTGCTCAGACATCTAAATCACGCGATGCCTCGGCAAGTACTTGCCAGAATGAATGACATACTGAATGAATGACTCAATCGACTAGGAAGTCGTAGCTTCCCTGTCTGGAAATCAGCTTCCCCGTCTGTGAAATGAACAAAAGGGGGTTTGGTTGAAAGGTCATTATAAGAGATAGAATGACAGAATGGCTGAACACATGAGCCTGGAATGAGGCTGTTCGGTTTTAAATTCTGGCTCCCCATTTATTGCCTGTGTGAGGCCTTGTGTCGATGTACTCACCTGTGAAATAGGAATCATGATATTAAAACCCACTGTATAGCGTAGCTGCCAGAGTAAAAAGCGACGTGGGGAAGTGCTCACTATGCTGCCTGGCATGTGCTGACGCTCAGCTAGGGACAGTTGCGGTGTCATCATCAATAGTTATCATGAGACTGCACGAGGCTCTGAGCACCCCCCTCCCCCGTCTCCCCCAGACATCCAGAAGAAGTCGTCCTAGTGGAAATCAGAGGAGAGTGGGTGGAGAGGAAGCTGTTGTTGGTCCCATCCAAGACCCCTAGACCCCCTCGCAGCGGGGGTGAGAGAATGAAACCGAGAAGTTAATTGGCGGTGAGAGCTTCTCACGGATCTGACAGGGGGTAAGAGCGGGGATGGAGCCCCAGAGGCCCACATCAGGACCAGGTCCCCGAGAGTACGGGAGAATGCGTTTGAAGTCTCCAGGCCAACGCCTGCTCTTCCCCAGCCGCCACATGATTTAGGCATTCTGGGGAGGCAAAAGTCTCCTCGCTGATTTGAAGGGAAACAGATGTTTCCAGGCCAGAGGCCCTGGTCTTGTAAAATGCTCCTTCCCCCCACACAGCTTTGGCAAACAACTTCCCAGTTAGTTTAAACCCCACCCCCCACTCCTACCCCCACCCCACTGCCCCACACCCAACCTACCATCACTCCCCTCCCAGCCATTCCCGCCACAACGTGGCAGTCGGTGTGGTGGGAAAAGCAGAGTCCCAGCTCCCGCTCCGCATCAGAGCAGATGGCGGGCCAGGGACACCTAACTGCCCTTCTCCGATGGGCCTCAGTCTCCCGTCTCTGTGGTGAAGAAACTCAACCAGTATCACCTCTAAGGATAGGCTAGAACTGAAATGTTAGGGATTGAAAAAAAAATTTTTTTCCTCTGAAAGAGTCAGTATTAATTGTTCCAGATCTTTCCTCGTTGCAGTCTATGACAAACAGCATGGGATTGCGTATCAAACTGCGCTGGCCTTGAGTCTAGCTAGACTCTATCAGCTATCAGGCAAGTAGTGACTTAACCGCGGGCCTTGGTTTCCTTATCTGTAACATGGGACCAAGGTTCCATCTCACAGGGTTGTGAGAATTAAATCAGAATTTACAAATACCCACCATTTGCTTCAACGTGGATGGAACTAGAGGGTATTATGCTGAGTGAAGTAAGTCAATTGGAGAAGGACAAACAGTGTATGTTCTCATTCATTTGGGGAATATAAATAATAGTGAAAGGGAATATAAGGGAAGGGAGAAGAAATGGGTGGGAGATATCAGAAAGGGAGACAGAACATAAAGACTCCTAACTCTGGGAAACGAACTAGGGGTGGTGGAGGGGGAGGAGGGCAGGGGGTGGGGGTGAGTGGGTGACGGGCACTGAGGGGGGCACTTGACGGGATGAGCACTGGGTGTTATTCTGTATGTTGGTAAATTGAACACCAATAAAAAATAAATTTATTATAAAAAAAGAATTTAATCCCCTCACCCACATTTTAGGTTTCTGATGAATGAAACTCAGTGTCATACCTCTTCCCTTGGACGACCCAGAATGCACAGAACAGTTTGTTCTCAGAGCAGGTGTGTGATAGTGTCTTCAAGTGACTACTGGTAGGAAGGTAGCTAGACACCAGGCAGCCCAAAGACTCGGGTTCTTGGTGTGACTCTGCTCTAGTAGAAGAAAGAGCATTCTCACTTTCAGGATCTAAATGAAGCAGGGTGTGTCATGGTTGGAACAGAGTCTGGAGTCTACTCGAGTTCAAATGTTGATTGTACAACCTATTTTTTTTTCTTTTACCGTGGGCAAGTTAATTAATATCTCCATTCTTTAGTGTATCTTGTCTTCAAAATGGGGATGATAATAAAAATAAAGTGTGGACAATAATATTACCTCCTTCAAAGGGATGTAGCACACAGAAAGTGCTAAAGTAAGCATCTGCCACTATTAGATGTGTGTGTTTAAATTATTAATCTCTTCCACGATGGTTCTAAAAGTGAGCTCCCTCCCCCAATTCTTTAGCTTTGCTCTCACTGAGAGGTGGGGGTTCTCTGTCCCTCCACTTTGGATGCTGGTGGCGTCAGGAACGTTTGGACTAATAGAGCTCAGCAGAAGGGATGCTGTATGACTCTGAGTCTGGATCATAAAAAGCTGTGCAACTTCTACCTCTCTCGCTGGAACCTGCTTGCTCGCAGCCCCAAGCCCCCATGCAAGACATCCAGCTACGCTGAGGCCACCCTGGAGTGAGGAAGCCCGGCTACATGGAGGAAGTGGCTACGGCAGGCATGGCAGCAGGACCTGGTGTCCGGGTCATTTCAGCCCAGGCCCCAGCTGGGTAACTAAAGGAACCTTCAGGTAACTGCAGCCCAAGCAGTCAGGTCGCTCATCCTGCCACTGATGCTCCAGACTTCATGAAGTAGCCCATGACAGCCAAGCCCACTGTGCCCTGTCTTGGAGACTGACCCACCAAATCCATCGGCATAATCAGATAGTTTGTTTTAAACCACTCAAATTTGGGGTCATTTATTACGTCATCGAGTCTCACAAGTTCCAAGCATCTACAGCCAGGGTCGGCAAACCACGGCCCACGGCCAAATCTGGCTTGCCGCATGTTTCTGTAAATAAGGTCTTAATGGAGCACAGCCACACTCAGTTTCTTAAAATGTATTTTCTGTAGATGCTTTCACACTACTGTGGCAGAGCTGAGTAACTGCAGCGGAGACCACCTGACCCATAAAGCCTAAAATACGTACTATCTGGACCTCTCGAGGAAAGCTTGAGCTAAAGTTTTGACAGCATCTTGTATAAATCATTTATTTACGTTATCTCCTTTGATCCCAGGGTTAGGCATCCTTCCTGCTTTAGACAGGCTCAGTGGGCTCAGGTGACGCATTCAAGGTAGCGCAGCTCTCCTGACCTCAGGTCTAACGTCACAACTACTTGCTGAAGATCTGGACTCCAGTCTGGACTCTGACACTGAATAAGCATTGTGATGTGCTCTGTTTCCCAGCCTGTGAAGTGAGAGCATTGGTATGAACTGGCTGACAAAATTCGGATGCCCAACGTCTTCCCCAGTGGGGTGCTGGCCGTCAAGAGTGTCAGAGTCAGACCTCAGAATGAACAGTGAGGGGCTGCTATGGAGCCCTGCTCTGATCTCCGTGCAGCCCACCTCCTCCCCAGGGCCAAAAACCAACCTTTTTATCTCCCAGCTTGGGCTGACGACTCGTGCTTTCTGCCAACATAAATATTTAATTCCGGTGCCCAGCACAGAGAGAGCGCCATGGTATTAAGGACTCCAGTCCTGGTTTCTACTTTCAAAACAACCCAGGCCAAGGCCTGACTGGGAGGCTGTGCCTGGGACCAAAGGTGAGGCGGCCCGTGGCTGTACTCCAAACATCAGCTCCCACCACTTGCACTCCCTTCAACTCCTCCGACTGCATGAGCACACAGGTAAAGAATCAGGGGAGTGGGGCGGGGCGCCAGGGCAGCCAGCAGAGAACTCTGGGGTTCTGGGGGAAGCCCCAGTCTGGAACCAACGTGGGTGCTAAGCTCAAGCACAGGCAACAACAATCTAGAATAAGTACTAGACATCTACTGCTGTGCCTGTCAAAGCCTCCCCCAATTCACTCATATGTGAACATTACTATAATCTTCATAGTGCCAACAATACCAGACCTCAGCAATGAATGATTATAGTAATGATATTTAAAATTAAATAAATATAAATTGATTTGAAATTAAAGTGTGCTGTAGTATCCGACTGAGGAGTGAATGATCCTCATGGCTGTGCCACCCACTGTATGCCTGCCCCCAGCAGAACACCTGCTAGGTGCCCGGCACTCTCCCAAGCAGGACAAAAATACTTAATGGGCAAGAAGAGTGTGGGCCTTGCTTTCCAGAAGCTCACAGAAGAGCAGGGAGATGGAGATGGTCAAGTGAACAAGAAATGGGATGCAGTGCTAGGAGCACCTCAATAAAAATTAATTATTGTCTTTATGTTTCCTTCAAGTGTGCTCGTTCTTCCTTTCTTAAACCAATGGACTAAGCTATGGATACACATTCGAGGACCGTCTGGATCCATGGTCAGCTGCAACCTATAGGGGATGCCAACTACCTATGAAAATCACATTCTCTTCTACCAGAAAAAAAAAAGCCATAAACACACACACACACACACACACACACAAAGGTGACAATCCTCATACTCCCCACCCTGAAAGCCTTAGAGGAGTGAACATGCCAAAGGATTTTAATGTATAAAACTAGGTAAATGGTCCATTTGAGCTTGTTCATTCACCCATCAAGTGTAATCTGACCTCTCTTGAAAGGGAAATTCAGGTTTTGTCTTCCTTCCCTTCTTCTTGTCTGTCCCCTCACTTCTCCTTCTCTTTCTTCAGGGAGTGGCTTACATGACAATACACAGTTAGACTGACCATTGCTCCTAGTTGGAGGATGTTCCTCTTGTAACAGGTTGTTTTAGGGCAAAGCAGACAAATTTTATGGTTTCAAATCAAGGAATGAATTAAGCATGGAATGTCTTATTATTCCAATTCAATTTATATTCCTGGGATCTCTATATTCCTGTGGCCCTTTTCTTATGTGTTTATTATATCCCGGACAGCCTCTCTAATACCCAGATAAAATCAGTAATTCTTAAATGACTTCAGTTATAGGAATTTTTTACAGGGAAGTATAACTTACAGATATGTGGCAGTGAGAGACAGAGGGCATGATGTGGAGTTTAACTTTGTCTTTAACTAGCTATGTTCTTTGGTCAGATGATTTCACCTCTCTGTAGCCTGGATACTATTGATAACCCCACAGGGATACTGTGAGGACCAAATGTTCATTATGGATGTGAAAGTGCCTTAGAGACCCCACACATTTCCTGGGCACTCACTCTATTAGACACTATGCTGGGGGCTTTTACACAGTTGTCTTCTGTTCTCTTTAGAATTGCCTAAGGAGTGTGTACTATTAAATCCATTTTACAAGGAGGCAAATGAGCCACGAAAATTTGAATTGACTTTTCCAAGGCTGCACAGATAGTTCAGCCAGGCCCCCCAGCATAGGTCTCCCAACTCAAAGTTCAGTGCTATTTCCAAATAGATACAATTGGTAGGTATTCATTGGTCCCAAATGGGTCTTGAGTCACAGTTTGGAGGAACTTAGAGTTCATGAGGAGGATGAACTCCATGTTTCCAACTTTTGACAAGGAAGAGCTCTCCGTACAGCAACACCATCGCCCGTCATCCCCGTTCAACCCTGACATTGCTCCTCTTTCTGTGTCTCACCATGAAGTCTTTCTCTTCTTCCTTGGTGCCTTTTAAAATTGCAAATTGGCAAATCAAGGTCAGAGAAGAGGCGGCCAAGCAGAGGTCCCCAACTTGGCTTTACCCTTGGACATTAAGTCATAAAATACTTTAGGCAGGATGGTTCTTAACTACTTCAAGCTAAGCTCAGTCTCCACCTGATGTATGAGCAGTATTTTCCCACAGGTTGGAGGAATGGGTATGGGGAGAAGGACCAAACTCTGTACTTGGGAGTCTATTTCCTGTTTCTATTTCCTTTAAGGGATTTGGTTTCCATATCTGTAAAATGGAGTTAACAATATCTGCCTCCCAAGATTGTTCTAACAATTAAATAACAAGGAAAATACCTAG